CAGACCTGGGCCTTATGCAGCGCCCGAAAAGGGGAAGACACGGCCACAAAGAGCTCCCGAGTCTGTGAACCACAAGTGCTGGCCTTTCTTTTTTTTATTACATTTTTATTGAAAGATTTTTTTCATAATTAACAAATACAGTAAACTAAAATCAATTACATCACGTAATATATTCCATTAACATGAGTAAAACATCTTCATAAAAAACATCGTCATTTACTATAAGTTTGACTCGAAATAAATAAATAGAATTTGACTTACAAAAACAGAACAATAACACCTCTAAAAACCCTACACCCTTTCGAAGCAGGAGAGTTACCTTAGAAAATATTGAAACATTTAGTAACGAAGCTTTAACGATATATAACTGCATCAAACGCCCACTTTCTGCCACTATTATCTGTAAGATATTTTGCTTCTAAATACAGAATTTTTTTTTTTAAATGGCTGAATATCCTGACCTACGTTTGTCTAAATAGATAATTACAAACATAAATTATCCATATAGCTGGAAGAAATTTTTGTAACCATTTAATATCCCACTCATGTTTTTTTTTGAGAAAATTGTCATATTATTAATAATCTCTTTTTCCATGGACAGTTGAAAAACAATTTGGTTAACTAAAAGAGTTTTCCAGTGTCGATAGACAATTTGAGGAAAGTTCATTTGAAATGTTCCTATTGTCGAACCACATTTAATAATATAGTCTAAAGGTATGGGCTACCTCTGATTCCATGATAAACCACGGTTCAGACACCAGCTGAGGGTCTTGTAGGGTATAAATATGCTTGATGATGTTAGCATAATACAAAGAAGTGATACTTGGGAAACTAAGACTAATAATATTTTCTGACTAATTCTGGGTTTTTTATTTTTCCAAATGAAATTAGTAAAGCTTGATTGAATCATTACTAACCATGGCTTAGACATTTTAATTGGGACCATGGCGAATAAATATAACCACTTAGGTAAAATATAAGAGTTTATAATATTAATCTTACCTAACCAGGAGGTTTCTAAATCTCTCCATTTTTTAAAATTGTGGTTGGCCTTTCTAGTGACCTTTTTAGCATCCCACCTCCCCCTGGGGAAACTTCAGGCCCAAGGTGCTTCCCTACTCTGCATGGGCATCAGCTGACTGTAGACATTACCTGGACTGTCCACGTAAATACCCACAAATCGCCTGCTCTGGTTTTGCCCTGCTCTAGTGGACTGGTGGCCTATTAAACCCACTAGACGGTTAAGCTTACTTACATTCCAAATTTCTCACTGCTTGTCTATGCTTGGACTTAGAATTATGTACTCAACAATTTACAGGGTAGTACTGCCTCAAACTTTTATGCCTATACTAGACATTCTAGAAATGTCAATATGGCAGAAAATTTTAGTCATGCATAGAATTTTATCTAAGCCAGCAATGTCAGCTAGTATAACCTGTTTATTCTCTATCCATGCTTAAATGAGCACTATAGTGCCAGGGAAACAAACTTGTTTTCCTGGCACTAGAGGGTTATTGGGTCCCCCCCTCCCGCTGGGCTGAAGGGGTTAAAACCCTTTCAGCCACTTACCTTAATCCAACGCAAGGCTCCCTCGGCTCTGGTGACCTCTCCTCCCCCTGCCGACGTCAGCTCAGAATGCGAATGTGCGGCAAGAGCCACATGCACATTCAAACCACCAATAGGAAAGCATTACTCAATGCTTTTCTATGGACGTCAGCGTGTTCTCAAAGTGATTTTTGCATTGAGGACAGCCACTAGAGGCTGGATTAACCCTCAATGTAAACATAGCAGTTTCTCTGTGGTTTACATTGAGCTGAAGAGGTCTGAGTGCCTATAGTGGTCCTTTAATGTTGATAATCCACTGACATAGATACCTACGCTTGTTTCTGTTTTGTTATACCTTACATTTAATTCTACGTGCATATGTACGTAATATTTGGACATACTTAAGTAATTTTCTTGATTACAATTTGAGGGAACTGCCTGATAACCCAGGCAGAAAGTCCAGAAAATGTAATTTGCTAGCACTATATTTAACCCTGTAACTTTTCAAGACACATTAAAACCTGTACATGGGGGTTACTGTTTTACTCAGGAGACTTTGCTGAATACAAATATTAGTGTTTCAAAACAGTAAAACATCACAACGATGATATTGTCAGTGGAAGTGAAGGTTTTTGCTTTTTTCACATACAAACGGCACTTTCATTGACAATATTATTGTTGTGATACATTTTACTGTTTTGAAACACTAATATTTGTTTCCAGAGAACAGTACCCCCCATGTACAGGTTTCCTAGTGTTTTTGAAAGTTACATGGTCAATTTAAGGCTTGCATATTCGTTTTTTCACATTGAAATTTGCTAGATTGGTTATGTTGCCTTTGAGAAATTATGGTAGCCCAGGAATGAGTATTACAACCATGATGGCATACCATTTGCAAAAGAAGACAACCTGTTGACATTGGGTATTTCTAAACTCAGGACAAACTTTAGAAACTATTTAGCATTGGTGTTTTTTGGCAGTTGTAAATACGTAACAGATTTTGGGGGTCAAAGTTAGAAAAATATTTTATTTATTTATTTTGTTTTTTTGCATCATATTTTATTTTAAAAAAATGTATAGTAAATTTTATGATATAAAAAGCAGAAAAATAAGAGAGCACAAATTAAAGAAGATAATGACACTATAGCAGTGTATAACAAACTATTGAGAGCCGCTAGATACAATAAAAACCTTCCCAATTTTTTTATATAGGCGGAAAAAAAAAAACGTATCAGTGCTTAGCAGATATTCCCTATCAAACAGAATAGGGAAAAACAAACAGTGTTTCAATCAAACCAAAATATTAGAGTCCCAATATCTATATATAAAAAAGGATATTTCTAAATGTTAGGGAATTAGAATGGTTGCACGATAGTCTGTGTATACAGAAGTTGGAGTAGATCCCGTCCAGATATAACTCTGTATCCAACCTAAAATTAAAGAAAACACTGACATAGTGTAACTCTGGAAATATATTTTATTCTCTATACAAAACCCCTAAGTGCCACTAAATGAGCATGGGTGCAATACAGTGCACTGGTGGAAATAAGTATGGTTACCGCTCCGTCGATAGGCTGCACTGGAACCGGTGCCCTCGGAGGAACACCCACTTGAAGGTGCAGCTGTATTCGCTCCCAAAACTCAAATAAAAATTACCGCCAAACTCGATCTATGCGTTTCGCCTGTTAGATCGGGCTTTCTAAACATAGAATATCTGGTGGTTTAAAATTGAATATATACACCCCCTTTGTGTGTCTAGGGTGAGAAGCACTTCTGTGCTTAAAGATGCACATCCAAGAAAAAAAAGAGAATACATACAAGCAATATAATATATCACATAACATAAAAATAAATTATCTACAAAATTCTTAACATCATCACGTGTAATAAAATACAATCACGTAATAACATTAGCAAATAAACATATAAAAAAGATAAAAAGGGTAAATTTGATGATATGATGAAAATAATGGTATCTTTAGAAAGACCATTTAATGATGAGAAAAACAGTATATAAAATGTGTAGGTACAGTAAATGAGTAAGAGGAAAATTACATCTAAACACAAACACCGCATTAATGTAAAAACAGCCCTGGTCCTTAACGGTTAGAAAATTGAAAAACGGTCTGGTCACTAAGGGGTTAATACAATATTCAATGCATATGAACAAATTCTACCCCACCTTCTGTCTATTTTCTCATATTATACCCCTCCCCCGTCAACATTCTCCATATACTCTCCTTATATTCTGCCCCCACACCTTCAGCTTTCTCAATATTTCCCCTCACCTTGTGTCCCTCTCCCCAGGTTTTTCCCCCGGTCTGTCGCTTTCCCCAATAGTTCTTGTGGTAGTGTGGCAGAGCAGCATGGGACTGATAAGAGTGAAAATTCAGTTTGGCGCCATCTGCTGCTAGTAGGGAGCAGTGATAGAACATCAAGTGCATCCTGGGTTTCTATTGCAGCCCAGGCACCAACGTGAAGAGTCCTGACTCTCACTCCCATGCCGCTCGGCTGCAGGATGGCTGTGCACACACTATATAATAATAAAAAAAAATCTGCACTTGCAGAGTTACACACCAACTGGTTTCTCTGTTTTCTAGTAATTGTATGTGGTTATAGGTGTTGAGGATACCCATTGAATGTATTTTTTCAACAAAACAGAAACTCCTGACAGTGTATTAGGACAGAGTGTAGCAGTCGACTTAGTCGACTAAAATACGACTAAAACTTAAATGTTTTTTTAGTCAAAAAACTATGACTAAAAATAAATTGAAAAGTGCTGCCAAAATGAACACTGTAGTGCAGACATTCAGTCAAGTGAAATAGATAGAAACATGCATATATACCGAGTTTAAAAAGAATGTTAACATTTTGACAATTCTGTAAAATTATTTGCAGAAATGTAACTATATGTATATATTGTCTCTATTTTTTTATTGATTACGTTTTAACAAACTATGTTCTGTGTACAATCTCTATCACTTGTATGGTTCTGTTGATTTTAAGTTCTTATGGGGGCTCTGGCCAGGCGGAAGTGTTCCTTTAAATAAATATGGGATAAATCTTCTTCAACGCGTCCAGATAGCACTCTTTATATTGGCTGGCTGTAAAGAATTGCAGGTTTTGCAAGCTGTTTTTAGATTTACCCACAAGAAAAAAAGAGGTAAAATTAAATGCATGAATGTTTTCGTTTGGGGAATATTTCCTAAATGGTGATTTTTGAAATTTATTTTGTATTTGAGCAGTGGCGTGTCCCATTAACCATTGCTCCTACCCTTTAAGCTGCTCCCACCTCATCAATGCATCACTGACATCACAATCAACCTCACAAACAAAGTTCTGATGCTGCTCACCTTCATTGCACTGTACAGCAAGAGACAGAGCAGTACTCTTACAGAGCACCAGAGATTTTCTTATTTCGTATTACATATTTTCTGATATCTGTCACGCTTAAGATGGATGGACAGAAGAAACAAAACAGAGAGCCAACTGAGTGCCAGAAAATGGAGCATCAGGAGGATAAGTCCTGCATCCTGAGCACCAAGAGTTTTAGCCAAACTCCAATTGTGAGATTTAGACCAAAAGCTGTCACTGGAGAGCCATGTCCTCACGAGGTGGGGGAACGTTACCACCTTTCATATAAGATGGGAATTGGAGCATGTCGCCTGATCCAAGACATTCTGTCCGCTCATGGGTTCCAGGAGGCTGAAGCCACCAGCAGAAACTTCAATGTGCTGTGGACAGGGCCCCTCCAGAAACAAAGTCTCGTAACGAACCTTTCCAGCTTTCAGCGAATTAATCACTTCCCCAAATCAAATGCCCTGGGCCACAAGGATCAACTGTACAAAAATCTTCAAAAGCTGAAGAAAAAACACAGGAACCACAGTTTCGACTTCCTGCCTGAGAGCTATGTGCTTCCTGGCCAGTACCGGGAATTCTGCAAAGCTTTATTAAAAGATCGAGGTACTTGGATTACAAAACCAGTGTCTTCATGTGAAGGCCGTGGAATAAACCTTATTAGAAACCCACCTAAAATGATTGGGAAAGATAAGATCTTGGTCTCCAAATATATCAGTAACCCCCTCCTCATAGATGGGTATAAATTTGATCTCCGCCTCTACGTGCTGGTGACATGCTATGATCCTTTAATTATTTATTTATATAAGGAAGGAATCACCAGGTTTGCCACGGAAAAGTATGAACTGACAGAAAAGACCTTGAGCAACAGGTTTATGCATTTAACCAACTACAGCGTAAACAAAGAGAGCGCATCTTTTGTCAGAAGTCAGAATCCAGATGTTGAAGACTGTGGCAGCCAATGGAGCTTCAGTGCTCTGTTGCGTTACTTAAAGAAGAACGGTAAGGACACAGCAACCCTCACCTCCAAAATAGAGGATCTTGTCATCAAGGCAATTATATCCGCAGAGGAAACAATTACCACGTCATGCAGATATACACTTCCTCACAAAAGAAACTGTTTCGAACTCTATGGCTTTGATGTATTGATCGATGAGAACCTGAGTCCCTGGCTAATGGAGGTTAACACGTCTCCATCTGTAACTTGTGACGATTTACTCAATTTAAAAATCAAGAGCAATCTGGTTGCAGATATGCTTTCTTTAGTCGGTGTGGAGTGTAAGAATCCACTGGAGAAAAAAGATAAATTGACCTTAGCTAACGCATACGATGAGGAGATCTTTCATTGGGTTAAAGACAAGGAGGAAGAGAGGAGAGGGGGGTTTGTAAGGCTATTCCCCAGGAAAGACACATGGCAGCGCTATGGTCCTTTACTGACATACAAGGTCATGAATAAAGCCTTGTCTAAACATCTTTATGAAAAAAAGCCTGCAATGTATGGAAAGAGCAGCAGTGGACCCCGTCAGAATATAGAGGTGTATGAAGCAAAGCTGCCTCCTCTAACCCAAAACATGATAGAATACCAGGAGAAGACAAACAAGTTAGTCGAAATTTCAAAGACACTTAAGAAGAATGCTGTAAAAGCTGTCCCAGTGTTAGTAAACAGAAGACCAAAACTTGAAAAACCATCTTGTCACAGTGGAAGGGACAAATTCCCAGAGCCAGGGAGCGGGAGAGATAGAAAAAAATTAGAAATATCTTTCCACAGTGGAAGGGCAGCTGTCCCAGAGGTAGGGGGCAAGAGATCAGGAAAAAATGTGGAAACAGCTCGCTGCAGTGGAAAGAAAGTTGCCCAGGAGGTGAGGAGCAGGAGACCAGGAAATAGTGCTGTAACATCTCTTTGCAGTGGAAAAGAAGCTATTCCAAAGATTGGGAGCAGAAGTACCGGAAAGGTTGTGGAAAAATCTTGCCGCAAAGGAAGTGAAGTTGTCCCAGAGATAAGGAATAGGAAACCAGGAAATATTGCGGAAACATATCACCGCAGCAGTAGGGAAGCTCTCCCGAAGGTGGAAAAGAGGAGGCCTGGAAATATTTTGAAAACATGTCATCAAAGTGGAAGGGAAACTGGCCAGGAGTTGAAAAGCGGAAGACCAGCTGGTTCAAAGACTAATGTTTTGGAGGCATGCCTTGTCTCAGTCAGTAGTGTAAAAGAACCAACAATGATTGAGAGCGACAAGACAGAATGTTTGTGGCAACAAAACGAGGCACTTAAAAAACGTTCCCAACATATTAAGGACATATGTGATGGCTTTTCATCTTATTACAAACAGGCATTCTTGGAATAAAATGTTTATAGTATGCAGGTAGGTCACTATCTACTTAAAAACAGGACATGCTATTCCAAAGTAATTTTTGTAAATAAGTTAAAAAAAAAAATTCCTCTAATGCACAGCCTTGTACTAAAGTAATTTTAAAAAGGTTTATTTGTTTACCTGAGATCCGCTGGGTGCTGCCCCCGCCTTTACTACATCCACCAGAGAATCAGGAGTTCCTGAAAATCACTTGTTAGCTCTACTGAGCTAAGTCCTTCAGGTAGGTCTAGATCAGACTGAGGGCATCAGCTACTGTCTCTCAGCCAATGAACTGACCGACAAGTTTAGTTTAGACAGAGAGCTTCTGGCTCTCTGGCACAAATAGTGCAGGCAGGGAGCTGCACCGTAGACCACTGGGAAGAAGTCAAACAGTTCTAAAGCACTATGACTCCTTACAAAGATGCGGGGAAAGTGGGTTTATTTACTAAACACTGAATTAACTGTGTAAATTAAAAATTGAATTGGAAAATGTAATCAGAAACTGCTGATATGGAAAAAAATCTACAACTCTGCTACTGTTACACATTTGGGAAGTAGGTTTTTAATCCAAAGTAAATCTTTTTTTTAGTGTGTAAACCCATAACTAGTTTAATTTGTAGAATAGCTCATTTGCTTAGCTTTTTGATGCTGCTAGAAATTATTTGTGCAGATTCAGGGTGTTGCCTCCAGCACCAGTATCAGCTCCCCCCAGGTGGCATCCACCTTCATAAATTTCACACACAGAGTTCCCCCGGGAAGGGACACTGATGATCGGCTGAGAGCGGTCAGTTGATGCTGTCAGCCAATCAGTGACTCCTCAGTCACAAAACTGGCTTGGAAAAGGTACATCTCTTTCCAAGATTGTTTTGTGAATTGGGGCAGCTGAGACCGGCACTGGAGGCAACTTCGGGGATAAACTGTTTGAAAACGGTTTGACTCCTTCAGGTAAGAGTAAGCCTGAGGTGCCTCCTAACAGCATATGGCACCATAACAACTGCATTAAAAATGAAGTTGTTATGGTGTCTAAACTGTCTCTTTAAGAGACTGGGCACAGGATAAAGGATTGTCTCTGCCATGACCAAGCTCTTACGTGCTACAAGATTGCAAATTTGAGGGATTATAGAAAGACACAATTAAAAAAGGGCATAAGAAGAGAGGAATACAGGGGGCTTAGGACAAGAGAGGCATAAGTAGGCAAAAGAGACATATGGTGGGGTACAGGGAAGTGGAACAAGTGGACTGGGAGATGATGATATGGCACAAGTGGGAAGATATGATGGAGTTTAGCACAGGTTCACGTGACACAGAGTAAGGTAATACAAGTGAGACAGACATAGGTGATAGACAACTAGAACAGAAATGTGGACATACAAGGGGGAAATGAGGAGACCAAATACAAGTGGAGGAGAAAGACAAACGTTTGATTTGGATTTAGATGAAAAAACAATATTTTAGCTAAAAATGGGTAAATCAACATTCTCTCTACTGTTATGAAATGAGGAATACTTCTTGCCTAAAAACACAATGAATATTGAAGCTTCAACCATTTCAGGGTTAATCTGAAATACTTTGGGTTGAATATAAAAATAATTAAATCTAACTTTAGTTTTTATCTTTAATAGTGACTTTATTGTGATTTTCATTCATCCTGCTTAGAGGAGCCTTACAGGAGCCTGTATTCGAGAGAAATAGGTAGGTGTGATTATCACATTGTTTAAAGGAACACTCTTTTCTGCATTTTGTTTTGGCCTAAATCAGTTGTAGACAACCTTCAGCACTCAAATTAGTGTAAACTACATCTCCCATAATGCTATTACATCAGCATCAGATGCGATGTCGTTCACAACATTGTGAGTGCCAAAGTTCGCGCTGCACTTGCCACAATGTGCCTAAGATTCCTGATTCTCTATGGCCAACTGTGACATCACTGTAAATGCGCGCGTGATGTCATGGTATGGTTATGGTATGAGAACCAGGAAGTAAGATTACCAGTTCTCATACCTAGAGGATTTGAAGGCGTGCCCCTTGAGACAGTGCTTCTAAGCCCTCTAATTAGTTACCTATAGGGCGTTAAGGGTACGAGAGGGGGACAGTACTGCAGGCACTATAACAACTTAATTAATATAAAGTTGTCAAAGTACCTAAAGTGTCTCTTTCAGCACTCCCATAATGCTCATACAGCCATTATACTGGCAAGGGATCAAGGAAGATGTAATCCACATCTGGAGAGCCAAAGGTTGTCTACCCCTGGCCTAAATAATGACCAATTAATAATAATTGACAGATTTTATTGCATGTTTAATAAGTAGATATCTAATCATTAAACTACAAGTCTCAGAATCCTCTTATCTAAGCAGAACTGAGTATGTGCAAAGAGTTAGCTCTTCCCCAGACAGTGTGTAGATAAACATGTAGTGCCCTAATCTGTATATTAACACCCGCAGTGCTGTGTAAACTAGTTCCTAGCATTTTAGTTAAAAATGGGTAAATCAACAATTTCTCTAATGTCATAAAATTAGGTATATTTCTCACCTAAAACCACAATGAATGTATATTGGAGCCTCCTCAACCATTTCGATGTTAATCTGGAATGCTTTGGGATGAAAAAATTAACTAATTCAATCTATCTTTTGTGTTTATTTTTAATAGTGACTTTATTGTGATTTCCACGCACCGTGTTAATAGAAGCAGTCTAAACGCAGCCTACAGGATCCTTCATTCAAAAGAAATAGATAGGTATGACTATCAGGTTGCATAAAGAAAAACCCTCACAACTTGCTTGTCTTTCAGTTTTGGCATAAATCAGGTGTAGACAACCTTCAACACTCAAGTTAGTATGGACTACATCTCCCATAATGCTTTTAAAGCCATGATCCTGCAAAGCATTAGAGGAGATATAGTCCACAACATCTTGAGTGCCAATGGTTGCTTACCACTAGTCTTAATAATTACCAATTAATATAAATGTATACATTTTGTTGCATGTATAATTTGCACAGATTCTGAAAGTTATTTTGCATTCCGCATCTGAACCCTACCTCCTCTTTCCCAACTCCTCTATTCTGTCCATCCCTGCTAACATACTGCTTTCAATAACCCTGTTGTATCTATCTTTAGGAAGCACAACATTTTGCTGGGATTAAAAAAAAAAAAGCAGCTTCAGGATACTTCATTCATTCATATAAGATCAACAAGGGTTCTCAGATTGCAATAGGTAGGTATGAATTTTAGGTTGCCTAACTAAACACCCACACAACATTTTTGCATTTAGTTTAGGCCTAAATCAGGAATAGGCAGCCGGCAAGAAACACTGTAGCATTAGGAATACCTATCTGTATTCCTAAGGCAGCAGTCCTGATGCCCCTTAATAAATTGTACCCCCACTGCAAGTACAAATTAAAATCAAATTTAAAATAAAACAAATTACTCACCCTTCTCCAGCTTCAAATCTCCTTCGGCGCTGCCGGAACCTCCTCCTTCAGTGATGTCATCCTGGAGGCATGTCTCCAGGATGACGGTCCAATCTTATGCACCTCATAGAGGAGCATTGGGCACCTTCGGCGCATGTGCAGCACTTGTCACAATGCACCTAAGATTCTGCCAAAGATAATCCTGATTCTTTATGGCTTACCATGACGTCATGATGGCTAATAATTGAACTACAAGTCTCAGGATCCTCTTATCTACGCAGAACTGAGTATGTGCAAAGAGATAGATCTTCCCGAGACAGTGTGTAGATAAATAGGTAGTGTTCTAATCCAAGGCTCGACAAATCCCAGACGCCAGGTCGCCATGGCAACTAGAAATTTCACCCTGGTGCCTGGGATTAAGCTGGATGTAAATTCAGAAGTGGGGGGAAATCAGCAAAAAGGGGGGGGGGAGGGAAAAGGGAAAATTCCTGCGTGTTACGAGTTTCTATGATCTCATCGTCTACTATCTAGAAGTACGGTGTGTTCTTAGGTGTATTAGTGCCAATATGTTTAGTCAATTCCTCTTTTTCTAGTTGAGTATTCTCCCTGTGGGGGTCACTGGTGCATCAATTGTGTGGTATTGCCATATTTATTAGGGGTGCGAGTGCCCAGTGTTTCAGGGCATTGGTCTCCTACCTATCGATCAGTTTGTAGCCAGTATTGTATCCAGGGTTGCCATACTTGTAAATATTTATTTATTTTACCTTGTACTGACCAATGTATCTCCTCCAACTACCTCATGTACTCCACTCTTTGTACCCATTGTTCTCTAGATGGTGTCGGAGTCTGACGTCAGTACACTGGGATCAAAGCATTTGCTTCTCCCAATAATAGATTCAGGAGTTGCTGCCTATATATCTCTCAGAAAGAGTTGGACCATCCTAGCAGAACTTGAGAAGGGGTTAATTGGACCTTTAATGGGACAATCATTTCTATTTCTCCTAGTATGGCCTAATGTCTTTGCAGAACCACCAAATGTGTTCCATATTCCCCTGCTCTTTGTCACACCTCCAGCATTTATCACTGACTGTTGGCCAGTAGGTATGTAGTTGAACCTGGGTCCTATACCATCTGGTGATCCTTTTATAGAAGGTCTCCTTTCTGGAGATATAGACTGGGGGTTTTATCCCTGTTTCAAGCATATGTGTCCAGCCAGAGGCGGCTCTCTAATTAGGCGGTTTAGGCGGCCGCCTAAGGCCTCGCGCTAGAAGGGGCCTCGCGGCCGCCTAAACCGAGTAATTAGAGAGCCGCTGCAGTGCTTTCAAATATTATAAAAAAAAATGTAATGCCGGCCGGCGGCCGCATCAATATTGCCGCGGCGCCGGCTCTATAACAAGATGAAACCCTCTCACATGGGTTTCCCGTGCAGGAGTGAATCCCCTCCCTTCCTCCTGCACGCTACCGGGTAATCGGCCAATCAGCGATGCCGATTACGTCACGACGTAACCCCTCCCCCGCCTGCGGTACCGAAGAGAAGAGGAGCTGCTGAAGAAAAGAGAGCAGAGGAGAAGGCAGAAAAAGGAA